GGACTTAAACTGATTTTTACCCTCCCTCCCCCAGCCTCTTCCCCACAGATGCAATTAATTTTTTACAATCCCTTTAGGGTCTGTACATTTTGCTATAAGGAAACTAATGGTTTTTCTATACTTGAATCCAAATTAAATTCCTAAAGTTTTTCCCTACTGGCAATTTCTAATAAAATGCAATCCTAAGGAAAGTTCACCAATGGAGTGCATATGAGACTCATTTATTCTGAAGTGTGGTGGAAACATAGGTGGCGGAAGGGACGAAACATGGGTACTAGGAAAAAAGCTAGTTTGGGTTCCAGTCTCCTAGTTCTGCTACAAACCTGCTGTGCTGCCCATTACCTTTTTTTTTTTTTTACTTCAATTTCCTCATCTGTAAAATGAGGGCACCACAACTAGATGATTACTAAACTCTCTTCCTGCTTTAACAGTCCTGGTTCTCAAAGATTAGCCTGCATTGTCAGCCTGATTGAGCTACTACTGTGAGCTAATGAAGAGGACAATAATTGAACTTTCTAGATCTCAGGGTATCTACATGCATCCTGGGATTTATTGTCCCATGAATGGACCTGGGGCTTCTAATGAAAAAAATGAGAGTTACCTGTGTATAAGATTAGCTTTAAAGACAAGAATAGGAGAGTGAGAGAAGACAAAGATAATTTACTTGAATTTGAAGATGGAAAAGACAGAGGTTCAAATCTTCCTTTGCCACTACGTTGATGAGGGCTTGAGATAGCTCCCCTCATTTTAGGAGGGGCTTAGTTCCCTCCTTTCTAAATGAGGACAGTTTCTCTGTTATCAGGCTGAGGAAGCACACAGGTGGGTGAAATCACAGCTAATATAAAAATCTCATGTAAAGAGAAGTTTCCCACCATCATTCTGTGCATCAGAGTGATTAACAGAGTAGTTAAATAGGACTTGTTCTTCTCTTTGTCCTTTTCCTATTGGCTAGTACAGTGGTCTCCAACCTTTTTGGCACCAGGGACTGGTTTCATGGAAGACAGTTTTTCCACGGACTGGGGGGAACCGGAGCTCAGGTGGTGATGCGAGAGATGGGGAGCAGCTGTAACTACAAATGAAGCTTCCCTTGCTGGCTACTACTCATCTCCTGCTGTGCAGTTGGGTTCCTAAGTTTCATGAAAGATAATTTTTCCATGGGCTAGGGTGGAGGAGTGGGAGGTGGGGGGGGGCAGAGCTCAGGCAGTGATGCGTGGCCTGGTTACTGACAGGTCAGTGACTAGTACCAGGCTGTGGCCTGGGGGATGGGGACTGCAGAGCTAGTGCAGAAGTCAGTGAAATAGGGATTCCAAAGAGATAGGCTACATAGAGAGAAAGTAAAGGCTTTTGGTTAATTCATAAATTTGGGTTTGAGTGGTCAGTGTTTTTTATATCATCATAACATGACAAATTTCATTATACTCAGGAGAAAAAAGTTGCAAAAGCATCCTAACTTTCTAAGTGTGGTGAGTCCTTGAGCTTTTTTTGATGTGTTTTCATGCTGATAGGACCAATTCATCCTGTCCTCATCACTGAATAAGGTTGGATTGTTCAGACCAATAATATGATGATTAATTCAAGTTTCTGTCTTGAGCATTTCTTTGCAGGCTATAGAGCCCTTTTTCCTTTGGAAAATAATTCCGGGACTGTAAAGATATATCAAATTATCAGGGGACAGACATATGCTTTCCTATGGCCTCTGCAGGGCTCACAGGTTCAAACATAATCTGCCTGAATCATAAGAACTTTAATTGAGAAGATAAAGAGGTCCTCATAATTATAAACTGCTGTAGGTATAATAAGAGGCTAAATACGTAGCTGTGGTTTTACTTAGCTGGTGCTTCAAATTAGTAATGTTGGTTGCAGTCAGAATTTGGTGATGTTATAAACTGAAAGCCTCATTACCATGTAGTTCATTCGTCATTAGACCTCACCTTATGATGCTTATTAATACAATGCCATGCTGAGCAAGAAAGGAAAAAGTTGGAGATATTTGGTTGCCTTCCAAGAGCAGTGGAACTCTGGGGGGATTAAATTCATTCTCGCCAGAGATATGAGAATTAACTGTTTTTTGTTGGATGTGTTAAAAAATGCAGCAGGCAGTTTTGTTTGTAACAGATAACACCCGTGTGCACACTCAATCTGCTATTCAAATTTGCGTCTGGAATTTGGTAGTTAATGAACTGATGCAAACTGCCCTTACTGCTGGCCGCTTGAAGGGTTGTCATGCATGTTGAAGCATGTTTCCTTTTCTTCTCCTTTTGTTTTTCCTTCATGGTTTTAATTATAGCTTTCCCTCAGAGGAGAAGGAAGGTAATTTGCAAAGCCAAGAGACCAAAGCACTTCAGTTCTCTTCATGGAATAATTAATATGATCCATGGGCCCCTCATTCTGAGCTGTCAGGTGCACGAAATGAACAGATAACTAGAAAACTGACATCTTTCTCACATTACTCAGAAGCAGGAGACTTTGTTCTTGTTTGTGTGTAGAGTATTATCTGCTATGAAAATCAAAGAATTGACTTTTGCAACAAATACCCACCCCCAGTATTGCTTTAACTTGTTACTCCACCCCACCCCTTGGCACCTGATCTTTCTTACATTTGGACAAATTGATGGGCTTGGATTACACACAGCTGATATGTGTTGTTGAAGTAGTCTCGAGATCCACACTTACTGGACTGAAAATGTTATTGTGCCTGGTTGATTCCACATCAGCCCCCAACATGAAGACATCAGGACACTCGACAACTGTTTGGGGTTCTGGTATCAACTTGTGAATGGAAATGAAAGAAGGTGCTAGAAAAATGTAATACCTGTGGAAGGTATCTGAGACTACAAATAATAGGCTGACTTCCAGTATCTGCACTTGACATCTTTCTTGACCAGGCAGGGTCTAGATTTGGGGTAGGACTCTTGAAGATTTTCTTTGCTTTCCCCAGATAGTGATAACATTTGCTAAACATACTCATGAGTGGCTCAGTGAGCTCTTATGTTTCTGGCATTGTTTGTATTATGAAAGTGTAATGTGAATTTAAACATGCTATAAATGTTGCCACTCTTTTAAAATGGAGAAATGAGTGTTGTTTATCCAGAGGATGAGGCTATCAAACTCACTTTGAATTTGACAGTTTAAGGATTCCTATGGAGAAAGGTGGATGATTAAGTATAGTGGCACCGTACACTCCATGTATATCAACATCTAGTTAAGCTGCACAGATAGTTCATGCTCTAGGCTGTTATTTTGTAAATTAAAGTTGTACTACTCGTGAGCAAACTAGCCTACCAATCATAGGCATTAAGGCTTGGGATGTATTCAGAACCTACCACTGTATTTTATGTCAGTATATCTCTTGTAATTCCTTTAGCTATTATGTTCATTTGCATGTCAATTATCTAATTAAGTCTTAACATGGTAATATTGACAAGGAGAAGAAAACCAACATTTATACAGTACCTGTTAGGCATTTTATGTAAATTTATATAATTTAAATTTACCCAGTATATAAGTACTAACTTTGAGTAAGGTGAACATCAAAAGAAGAGGAAAAGCCCGATAAACAAAATAAAATACACTACTATAAGATTTACAGATTATGGTTAAATTTGCAGTCTCGCATGATGAAGAAAATAATTGTTTTCTTCCCAGAATATATCTTAAATGTTGTCTGGAAGCTTTTGATTCTCCAATGGGAGAATCAAAGACTGAAATGTGATTAGAGTCACAGAGTTATTTAGTCTTGATAAATAATTTGTGCATTAAGATCATTAAAGGCTTTTTATACCTCCTTTTTTCATCATTAGTTAGTAGTTTGTATTCAAGCCAGACCTCTTTCTTTGTGAAGAGTTTCCCAAAAATGCTTCCATTCACCTTTGAAGAAAAGTGTGGGGAGTCTGCAGGGCATGATGGTTTGCTCCAGTAGTCCCAGCTACTGGGGAGGCTGAGGCAGGAGGATCACTTGAGCCTAGGAGTCCAACCAAGGTTGCAATGAGGTAGGATCATGCCACTGTACTCCAGCCTAGGCAACACAGCCAGGTCCCATCTCAAAAAAGAAAAAAGAGAAGAAGTATGGGAAGACCAAAGCAACAACAACCAAACAAAAGGAGTGTAGATCATTAGAGTGATTTCTTAGTATGTATGGACTTCTAAAAATGTACTTAAATTCTACTGTGATTACATTAAAACAGGCTAACTCTGGCTCAGGAAAGAATTCCAGTTTATCTGCAGCTCCATATTTTGATAATTCCTTTCCCTTAGGACATTGTGACATCTGTGGATTCTGAGCCCTAGGCAGTTGGCAACACAATGTAACTTTAATTCAGTACCTTTCTGCACAGTGGACTGACTTTTGGGGAGCATGTAATTGCTTAAAATAATCAAACAGTACAAGGGAAAAGGATTATGTCATACTTGCATGGTCACGAATAAAATTTATAATAAATAAGTTTCTGTTTTCTTCTTTATTCTGAAGATCTGGTTGGGATCTTAAACCAACAAGAATCTGTCAACCACTTTGGTACCAGCGTCGACTAGTCGATAGCCACAGGTGAACGCGCACAGTGACTTTAGCCGACAGCCATGACATGACTTTTCTAATTTTTCATTTATCAAAATAAAATTGTGAACACTTAAAAATAACATAATGAAAACATATATGTATATGTTACCTATTCTGATTTACATTATAAGTAAAGCTGCCTCTAAAGTAAAACAAGCTTTCAGTGCTTTAAAGCTTTCCTCATCACACAAGAGCAAAATGGATTCGTCGTCAATGCACAGCACAAACTATCGTGTGGACTATGAGTGCCAGCTGTGGGCAAGGTTTCAAGGATGGTGAGAGTGGTACTGAGTGGTTAAAAAAAAGTACTCTCTGCTTTCTAGGCAGTGTCAACTTGGGAGCAAGTTGACATACATATTTTTTCTTATTGATTACAAGGAAGATTTAAATGACTTACATGACTAATTAATCCTTTTCTCCTTTTGTCTTTTCCTTTTCATATCAGTCACTATGAACAAGACCGTAGTGTACTTAAAAAAAGGGAATGGGAGAGGAGGAATCAAGAAGTCCAGCAAGAAGATGATCTCTTTTCTTCAGGCTTTGATCTTTTTGGGGAGCCCTACAAGGTAGCTGAATATGTGTGTAATTTATCTTTCTGGGAAATGGTTGCTTGTTACATTTTTGAACTCACTAATCAACATTCAATTTATGTTTAAAGCACCCAAGTCATTTCCAGGAGAATATCCTTTAAAAGTGAAATACATATATATATATATATATATATATATATATACACTATATTTGAGGCAATTGCAAAGTTTCTGAAGAAGTCTTCAGAGACAAATTCCATCTTCTTTGGGGGGCACAGTAAGAATTGAGAGAGACTTGAGAGACTTCCTGTCTCCAAGGAGCTCCTTACTGTGCATAATTCTTAAAGCAAGGAATGCCCCTTTGATGCTTTTCACTGATTTGATTGTCAATAGGCAGCCCCTGAAGACTTCATCAGAATGTCAATGATATGTCTATTTCTCTTCCCAATCAGTTCCATCCATTTCAAGGTGACTGCTTTCCTTTTCCATTTTAGGTTGTTAGTAATTGTTTAGTGGTTTGAGTGCTCTTGGAAAATTACTGTTCTAGAATTAAGGGAAAAGTCAATTGTTTTTCATGGTAGTTAATAATCATGGGTTAGGGGATTGCATCAGCAGGGGTGAGGGTAGAGGGGGTAGTGTAGCTAGCTTGATTTTCTAGTGGTATTCTACTAGTGTGTAGCTCCAATAGTGATCAAACTGCGATGTCTACAAGTATTGATTTTACCATAACTGCTTCTGAACTTCCTATTTGGGGTGGAGATTAGGGGCAACTATGACGAGATTATGGTGGAAGAATCTTATTGAATTGCTGGTAGCTTGTTGATTTTTATTGAAATTTGGTAGCAGTGAAATTTTCTGTAATGAAACAAAAATGATATAAGAAATAAAACAATAGAGAAAATGTTTAAGAGTTATGAGTTTAGAAGAGCACCATTTAAGGGACAGTGACTTTTGGAAAAGGAAAGTACTTAAGGAGGACAGCATAAGCCCAAATACTACTTTTCCATAGAGAGTAAGCTGCTTGGATTGGTAACTAGTGAGACCGGAGTCTGGCTGTCTTGTTCAGAGCAAGTAAGCAGTTCTTGAGTGAGCTACCTGAGTACCTTCCAAGTTTGGTAAGCCTGACAAAGAGACTTACTTACATCACATAATCTACTGGTTTTCAATCTGGCAGTAACAGTATAAACCATAAAAAAAGCATTTCTCCTATATTGAACAATTTAATTTTATACTACCTTTGAATGTATGTATATTTAGATATATGATGACTTTAACAAACATTTATCAAAGACCCAGTATGTGCTAGTCACTATCTTAGACTAGTGTACAAAAGGGAATAGTCCCTGCCTGCCAAGGAATTCCTGGTCCAGTGTCAGAGATCATCATGAGTGAGTGATTGCATGGTGACTGGTAGAGAGAGATCAATGAAGACTTTGTATTCAAACTCATTCCAAGGGGTTAGAATGCAATTCTGTACATGATAAGAAATCATTGCAAGTTTTTAAGTCAGGACATGGCCAGGACAGATATACAGTTTATAAAGATGATATTGGGCAATGGAATGGAAGAAGAGGAAACTAGAGGAAGATACAGCAGCTATTATAGTTGATAAGGGGAGATTATGACAGGAAGGATTTAAGGTAGAGTAAGTGAAATGATGGGATTCAGTGTCTAATTGGATGGAGGGACATATGGTATGGGAATGAATGATTCCAAGTTTTTGACTTGAGAGGATGGTTGTATCATTAACAAGCTGTTTAGGAGGAAAACAGAGTTGGTGCTCAAAGAAAAAAATAATTCAGTTCTGAGCATGTTGAGTTTAAGATGCTAGTGGGATATCAAAGGAAAGCTATCCAGTAGGCATTGGATATATAGGTCTGGAGCTCTTGAGAGTGGTCAAAAGGGAGATTTAGCTGCTATTGTCATGTAGGTGTCAGTGGAAGCTGTGAGAACCATCATGGTCACTGAGTTAGATTATGGGGTAAGCAGATGGACAAAGAGAGTTCTAGGGAGTAGCAACATTTAAGGGGTAAAAGAGGTGGTGAAAGCAGAGGCCAGGAAAGAAACTAAAAGGAATCATTGGAGAGGTAGGAAGAGAACAAGGAAAGAAACATGTATAAGGCGTCAGGCAGATGGGAGGGGGGAGGAGGGGATGGGCATATACATGCATAATGAGTGTGATGCGCACCATCAGGGGATGGACACGCATGAAGCTCTGACTCCAGGGTGGGGGGAAGGAAGAGGAAAGGCAACATACGTAACCTAAACATTTGTACCCCCATAATATGCTGAAATAAAAAAAGGAAATAAACATTTAACATTTAATAGAAACCAAGGGCACAAAGGATTTTATGGAGGAAAGATTTGCTAGTTGCATGCCTCAGAAAAGTCAAGAAAGATAGAGACTGCAAACTGGCTGTTGGATTTGGCAGTCAAGGAGTAATTGGTGACCTTAGGGAGAGTTGATGGTGGTGGTCATTGTGGGAAGCCAAATTGCCAGAGGTTGGAGAATAAAGAGGAATTGGTTAAGTAAAGAAAGAGAGGCAAGCAATTGTAGACTTGATCTTGCAGAGAGGTTTTGCATGGAGGAAGGGAGGAAGAAGGATATGTTTTTGAAAGTGAAGAGAGGAATTATATGAAGGAAAGCTTTTTTAAAATGAGAGAAATGGGAGCATGTTTAGAGATTGATGGGAAGGAACCAACATCAATGGCGAAAAAGAAGGTGGAAGATACAGAAGAGAGAGGTGATACTGAGTAGACCAAGGTCCTAGAGGATATTTTAAAAAAAGAGAGAGAGAAACAAGATGGAGAGCAGGGACAGCAGGTGAGGAGTCATGAGCCATGGGGAGGAAAGTGGGGACAGAACATTAGAATGAGAAAAAAGCAGGAGAGTAGAAGAAAGATTGGGAGAAGAGCAAGAAGTCATGGCCTCCATAAATAGAGGAGAAGTCAAAGAATGATAGGTGTCTCATCCCTTCTCAGAGTGAAGGAGGCATAACCCAATAAGTTTTACATCTCATTTTTGGATGTGTTAGAAAATTGAGCTCTACTCAAAGGGTTTATTCTTAAAAATCAATATCAATCCCATCCTCAACACTATTATAAGGTGAAGAATCCTTGATTTATTTTCCCTTCACAGTTCTTTTCTTTCTTTTTAAGAGACTGCGCCTGGCTCTGTTGCCTAGGCTGGAGTGCAATGGAGCAATCATAACTCACTGCAGCCTCAAACTCCTGGGCTCAAGCCAACCTCCTGCCTCAGCCTCCTGAGTATTGTCTTTATAATTTTAAGTCATGGTGAACTAATGATTTTGTGCCTTTAAGTTAAATTTCATCTCTTCAGAAGGCATGGCATATAGATGTATATTTATTTTTAGATATTAGCAGTGTATTTTTGAGTAGACAGTTGAAAAAAACCTGTTATCAATATTGTCAGAAGTTTTCAAAAGCCTTCTGTTTTGATACTGCAAAGGTACATCAGGTAGAGACACAGATGGGGACATTTAGTCAAGGGCAGGACCAGGCCTGTTGTGTGATTAGTAGCTTGTTGCCTTTGTGCTTTTTGATGGGGAAGGGGCTTTGTTCTTGAGTGACAACTCTTATGAAGGAAAGGAATAATGCTAAAGGATGGTGACCTAGTAATTCTTTTTCTTTTTCTCTTGCTTTGATGATCAGTTGTAATCTTTTGCTGTGTCCACGTTCAGGGTTCTTTGAGAGAGCACTGAGGAAGATGCTACTCCTTTCCTCCCTATTATGATTCTAGAACTGATATGTACCTCCAAAGGCTCCCTAGACCAAGACTGGGGTGCATACCTTTGGAATATCTGGTCATGACAAATGGCAGTGGGAGTACTAAAGCTGGCTCATGGTTCACTAGTAGAAACAAGGACATACCAGAACTTTACCCTAGGGTTGTAGTGGGAATAGTTATCAAATTAAAAATAAAAGTTTGTAGTAGTGGATCAGGACTTTCAGGAAAGTTTCTAGGAAACTTCTTGCTACTGTGAAGCCTAAAACATGGCTCAATCACCTGCCCAATAGTATCAGTGATTCATAAATTAGCCAGTGTGAAGACTGCTCCTTAGGACCTACTACTCTTTCATGGCAGAAAGAGAAATGGTAATCTCTCATGTTCCTGGATGATTTCTTTCCCTTCTTTGCCTTGCTTCTACCAGTGCCAGAGTGAAAGTAATGTGTCTACCCCCAGATTTGGTTGGTGATGTGGAACTTCTCTGTGGGACTATAAGGTTATGACTTTCAAATATGAGTTTTTGTTATGCTGTTGAGAAAGATGTCTTCAAATGTGCCTGAAAATATGACTCCATTTGAAATGTTTTGGTTAGTATGGAAAGATTGGTGAAGGATTGGCATGTACCAAGTGCCTACTTTGTGCTAGGCACTGTGCTAGGGCTTTATGTATGTGTTCGTGTAGTCCTTACAACTGGAGTACACATTTTTCCCATGTTTCCCATGAGGAATTTTAACTCAGAGAAGTGAGGCAGCTTCTGTGCAACTTCATATTCTTGTATATGGTGAATCTAGACCTTACACCCAGTTTTGTATGACTCCTTATCTGTAACAGGAAGTTGCTTATCCTCTGACCGAAAGTCAGAAGACTTGATAAGCTTACCTGCTGGATGACTAAGAGGAAGAAACATCGTTACACTGACCCACAGTTTCTCCTTTCTGAAGTGAATTATAATAATTATAATAAGTAACACTTTATAGCTCATCATAGGTCAAAAAGAATGAGGGAACTGAGGTACAGAGAGGTTTACCAAGGTCATTTATGTTGGGACAGGTAGAGGCCAGATGGAGGCCAGAGCTACTCTGCTGACTCGCATGGTTGTTGTAAGGATCCAGTGAAACAATCCAGGAAACCTTTCTTTGATATCTGTAAGGTGCTATAGAAATTCAAGTTATTATCATTATTATAATTATAGTAAAAGAAGAAATAGCAACTTACAGCTTAGAGAGAATAACTGTAAAAATATTAGAATTAGGAAAAAAGGAGTTACTAAATCACATACATTAGTTATAATAAAATAAAAGAAAAAAATGAACTTCAAAACAAATTACTTTGCTACTTTTATTAAAGAGAATCATTATGGTAAAATAGCCTCCTAGCACATTAGTCTTGCAATGAAATTATACTACTGATTTGTAGATAGCATTAGAAACAAACTGAGGGAAGTTTGCATTTCCTGAAGTAATGAGAGGCAAAAAGCCTAAATGAAGGAGTGCTGTTAGTCATGAGCCACAAACCAGACATATAATTTATGTCTGAAAATACTTGTAAAATGCATTTCCTTGATGATAGCGAAATTGTGATTACTTAGAAAATAATGGCTACAGAGCTTACCTTTAAGGAATCAACCAATTATCTAGAACAGGAAGTAAAGAATTGGCCAAATTGAAAGAAGTGTATAATTGATTGAAATGACTAGATTTTTTGCCATGTTTATAATGTTCAATCAAGATTGACAAGAATACTGTGCTCCTTAATAGGATTACTAAGACTCCGGAGGGTGAAAAAGAACATTTAGTGTGAATCAGAAGTTGCAATGGTGTATAATGAGAGTACGTTGTGTAGGTGTGTATAAATGTATTTCAGGCTCTATTGAGTTTTGTATGCAGTGAATTTCTTATCTACATCTTGAGAAATTAAAAACTGATTTACAATTACCCACCTGCAATGGTGGGAAGGCAGAGAGTTTACTCTGGCTACCTGGACTGGACTGCTAATTATGTGGTGGACTGTTGGATGGTGGTAGGCTTGAGGCTCTGTGTCCGTGTGCCCACCATGCCTAACCCTGCCACAGGAGGGTTTCCAATTTACCAGTATTTGTCTTAAGCACGACTGTGGTAATTCATACTTGAAGCCACAGCATGTCTGTTATGCAAAGCATATGGATCTTCCTTCAATCCGCAACTCAGAAAGTGTCGCCAGTGAACTCAACCTTGAATTGTCTGCTATACAGTTCCTGTCAGAAGGTTTTCTGAGACAGTTGCTCTATAAGGAAGCTCATCTAAGGAAGGTAGCATCCCTTCATTATTCCAGGTTATAACAGCTCCACCCCTATTCATTAGTACATAAGAAGCTGCACCCCTGGATCATATTAGCCTAGACCTCTAAGTCCACGTGCAGACATGCTTTCACTGAGTTAGAGTTTAGTGTAATGCTCTTGCCTTTTAGTCATCATAATAAAAAGCCGCAGGAAAAACCTCTGCATTTTCTGGAAAATTGGTACTGAAAAATTGTTTGTTTTATTGACCAAAAGTTCTTATAAACAAACCAGTGAGAGGACTTCCTTTTCACATAGTAGTATCAGGCAACCATTGTCTCATTTAGTGAATTAGGATATGCTTTCTTTCATCAAAGAGAATTCTATAACCTGTGAGCTTTTCTTTTTTGCCTTGGCTACCAGGAACCTCAAAGTTCAATTTAATGTTCAATCATAGGAACCAAGTTAGCCTAACTTTTGCTTTTTATTTATATACCTTTAACTCCAAGCCATTGCAAATCCTTTATTTTGATATAGGCAGAGTATGAATTAGAATGTATTCTGTTCAACTCAGCAACAATTTATTGAATATTTAATATATATTAGACATGATAAATCTTAGGGATATAAAGAGAAATAAAAGGTGGTCTCTGACCTTTAAGAGATCATAGTTTTATTAAAGGAAAGAAATCAAACTGTAGCATTCACTGTCTTAGGAGGTTTTCTAGACTTATTCAGAGAAATTTCAGTTTTCTCCTAATTTTATTCATGTAGACAAGATTAGAAATCGGTTAGTTTAGAAGTTCTCCTTATTTCAAGCATATTTTAAAACCAGATGTGGAAAAAAAATCTAAGCATGCATCTGAAACTCAGATCATTATAATAGTAAATGTAAATGAAGAGACATTAAAACCTAGACAAGGTTCTCCCCACCAATGACAAGATGAACATGTCTTTTCTATTTACTGCTGAAACAAGAACAGAAATGTAACTAGCTTGCTTGCAAGCTAATGAGCTTGAGGTTCTTGGGTACTGATGATGTTGGTCTAAAGAGAATACAATGACTTCTCAGGGCATTGGGATCAGAGTATCGAGGTGGTGTGGTAGTCTCTGTGACACCTAGGGGCAAGGTTCTGCTTTGGTAGAACTCTGTCTCAGTGAAAGCCATATAGTAAAATGAAGACATTTCAAATAGAAAATGAAATGTAAATGGTGTTATTTCTCCTTGTTGGATCAGATCCTTGAATATAGCCAGGTATGAGTATTCATTAAGCAATCATCTGACCCAAGACATAATCTGTTTAAGGCCAGAACAACCCTTCAAATATTTAAACCTTGCATCAGATTCTTGTTGGGCCCTCAGAACAATGAAATTTCTTTGTTTTAAATTTAGGGATTGAATAGAAAGATCAGTTTTGGCTGCTGTCCAAATGGTTCATTGTACAACTCAGTTGAAGGAGAGTGCTATATACAAAGAGTTTATTCTTGTCTTTGCTAAAATATAATTTCTGCCATTAAAAATGACAAGCCTATGGACTTTTAGGGAATAAAAGTGATTTCTACCCATCTATAGATTTAAAATGTCTTTTAAATGTACTTTTGAAAACACAGGGATTATTCAGCTGAGGATTACATAGAGTGTTAATTGTTTAATCACTACTTCAGAACCAAGGTTGCATTTGATGCAATGTAAGACATTCTGGTGGATAAGCAAACTAAAATTGACATATGTTTATTTTATTTTTAAAGATTCTCATCCCCCACAGAACTCCCTCAGCATATACTTGCCATACTTTTTTCCCCTTAATCTTTGAAATTCATATTCCTCTAACTGCCCTCATTTCTTTGGAAGTGTCTTTTATGGTTTCACACACACATGGTGTAAGTTAAATACTTTATATGGTATATGGAGATCATGCTAATAATGAGGCCAAGGTTTCCAGTTTGATTCTTTCTCTGATTGTTCCTTCTTGGTATCCTTTGCTGGCTGGCTCCTCTTCTTCTCCGAGTTTCTTAAAGGTTGATGTTTCCTAGGGTTCTTTCCCAAGCCCTCTTCTCATTCTATATTTTCTTTCCCTGAGTGATTTCATCCATTTCTGGTACTTCACCCTCCATCCATCTGCATAGTCTCCCATCTTCACATACAGAGAACAGCACAAAGCCATACCACCTAGATTTACACTAAGGAACCAGACTTGGATAGATATACTCCCTGTGTACACCAGGAGACTGGGCTGTGTTTAAAGGGTACATGAAAAACCTCAGATGTTAAACATCTATCTTTAGTGGACAGTATACCCATGAGGAGGTGGTCACCCCCTCTTATGCATGGAGAATGTACCTATGGCTCCTGAAACCTGAAAGCCACATAAGACGGTGTCTTCCACATCTAGCGGCCCAGTTGTCAGCTGGCTCCTCAAATACTGGTGGCCTTCTTTCATTGCAACATCTTGGGCCTAGGTACAAGAAAGTCCTTTGCCCTTCTGACTTCAGCAGCTAGTTTTGATTACCTCTTTGGCATGTAAAGAAAATAATAGGCCGGGTGCGGTGGCTCATGCCTGTAATCCTATCACTCTGGGAGGCTGAAGCAGGTGGATTGCTCGAGGTCAGGAGTTCGAAACCAGCCTGAGTAAGAGCGAGACCCCTTCTCTACTATAAATAGAAAGAAATTAATTGGCCAGCTAATATATTTAGAAAAAATTAGCCGGGCATGGTGGCTGCCTGTAGTCCCAGCTAGTTGGGCTGAAGCAGTAGGATTGCTTGAGCCCAGGAGTTTGAGGTTGCTGTGAGCTAGGCTGACACCATGGCACTTATCTAGCCTGGGCAACAAAGAGAGACTCTGCCTCAAAAAAAAAGAAAAAAAAAAAAAAAAAAAAAAAGAAAATAATAAAAGTCATTTTCAAGGATGACCCACTGAGCTTTTATCAAAGGCATTTCCAAATATACATTTTTGGAAATGTATTTTTTAGTCATGAAAGCTTTGCTTTGTACATTACAAAGACCAGTGCAGGAGCTTAATTATTTTGAAAACAATCACAGCTATTTTAATAGTATTAATATTTACTATAGGGGATGGTGTAGCTGGTATGTTGATCATCCATAGAATGATTTGGTTGTCTTTCTAACTCCTACACATTAGGCTAACATCAGTTTGAAAAGATGACTTTGTTTTAATTTCCTTAACAACAGCTTAAATTCTTGAATAAATTTTCCTAAATCATTGAAAAGACATAGGAGAGCTTAAGTTATTGTTGATGAACAATTGCACTATTTCAAAGTAAATGAATAATCATCAATATGTAAACACAATTGCCCCTAGAATATGTAGGCAGACACTAGTAATTTATACAGTTCTTTGATTAAAAGGAATTAGATTCACTTTAGTCATAAGTTAGCTCAATTAGATGTCTTTTAATCCCATGCCTTTTCTAAACTTATTATAGTCATGAGAGCACAATTTAACTGACTTCTATATCCGATGGGCTAAGCCTTTTTTTAAGGTATGATGTAGTACAAAGTCCAATGTGTCAAAAACATATAAAAGTTGAACATTCCATTATAGTTTCAATGATTAATAAGCAAAAGTTGTTAATCATGATGTAGAATATAGTAATTCAGCTCATCTGACCTCCAATAAGTTATTTTTTAATAAAATTAATAAATGATATAATTTAAAACTTTCTTCCCATGAATATGTTTAAGGACAGGCTAGAGAGTATACAAACGTTAATCATACCTGCTCATTCCAAGAGGCTCTTGTAATAGTGTTATTGAATTTTTTCTTACATAGCACATGAAAAGTATGAAATTATATGACAGCATGACAATTTTAAAGAACCTTATATGTTAGTCTACTTAGGGCATCTGTTTGAAACATGAACATTAGGAAACACAAACCTATTCATTCTCTTTCCTCCCACCCCCATCTTTTTGTTATTTTAGACAAACAAAGGTGATCTACTTGCCAACCGAGTCCAGAACACGCTTGGAAACTATGATGAAATGAAGGATTTGCTAACTAACCATTCTAATGAGAATCATCTAGTGGGAATCCCAAAGAATTCTGTGTCCCAGACTCCCATCAACAAAAATGAACCAAGCTTTTTTCCAGAACAAAAGAACCGAATGATCCCAGCTCATGAGGATAATACCCATCCCTCTGCAGCAATGCCTCCACCTTCTGTCGTGATACTGAATTCAACTTTAATACGCAGCAACAGAAAATCGAAACCTGAGTGGCCACGAGATAGTCATAATTCTAGCAATGTGCCAGCAAGCCAGGCCAGTAGTCAGCCAAACAAGATGCACACTTTGACACAGGACCAACCTCAAGCCAGACTGGAAGACTTCTTTGTCTACCCAGCTGAACAGCCCCAAATCAGAGCAGTTGAAGAGTCAAAGCCATCCATGAAGGAAGACAGTAGCCTCAAGTCCAGTGGAGAAAATGCTTTCAAAGAAATCTTTCAGTCCAACTCACCAGAAGAATCTGAATTTACAGTGCAAGCACCTGGGTCTCCCCTAGTTGCCTCCTCTTTATTAGCTCCCAGCAGTGGCCTTTCAGTTCAAAGCTTCCCACCAGGGCTCTACTGCAAGACAAGCATGGGGCAGCAAAAGCCAACTGCATATGTAAGACCTATGGATGGCCAGGACCAGACACCTGACATCTCTCCAGCACTAAAACCTTCCATCGAATTCGAGAACAGCTTTGGGAATCTGTCATTTGGATCACTCTTGGATGGGAAATCCAGTGTAGCCAGTTCAAAGACTAAACTGCCCAAGTTCACAATCCTCCAAACAAGTGAAGTAAGTAATTTTTGAATTTTTGTTTTGTTTCTTTTTTTCAGTTCACTGCTCTTACCTCTGTAATCAAGTATTCATAAGCAGCTCTCATTTAACTTATTGAGCCATATATGAGACTCTTCAAGGTCAGAGTCTGATTCTTGATCTTCTGTCACTTGTGACATGACTGATTAACACTCTGGAAGCACAGTTAAATCTCCATAATTTGGAATGACAAAAGACAAGGTCGGTCTGAGGTCTGAGTGAATGAACAGTTGGAGTTATAAAATAGTTTCAGAAAAAGAATTTGTAGTAATATTATGTACAAATTAATGACACTTGAGTTTTTAATTGGTCATAAATATGAGGTTCATGAAAAGATTGTAAGTCACCATAGGCCTTCACTAGCCAATAACATATTATAAACATAAAATGTAGAAGTTCCTTAATGTATAAGAATGTACAAGTGTGATTTACTAGATCCTGAAGTGGAAGCCATTCTTTAAGAATCTTAGTTTCCTGAGTGTTTGCAGAGCTATTCCTTGACAAGATCTTAGTGTTTATCTTCCATACCCCTCAATCTTCCCTCTTGCATCACCTTCTTCCACAGGTACCTACATAGACCTCTTATTCTACCTCCATCTTTTCTGTCAAAGTAAAAGGCATTATGATCCACCAAAATCCCACTGGGTTTAGAATGACTAAATATCCTACCCATCTCAGGAATCACTGCCTTGTAAAAAGAAGTTCAGAGGGACCAAAACCTCTCCCAAAGGAATGAATCACTAATGATTGGATTCCAGGCCTTATAACCCTGGGTGGGGGACATATATGGGACTGCTCCTCAGACACCACTGTGTAAAGCAGCTGCCTACTGTACCTCCAGTGCTTGGTTGGAAGAAGCCACTGCCTTTAGATTGGACTCCTATACTGGTTAGTAAAGGCTTGAAAAGATACTGAGGAAGAAAGTAGGTTGAAATTCTTACTCAGTAGGAGTGACAGGCAGTCTGTCCAAATTATTGCAGATTCTGAGTTAGTGGTGTTTTAATTAGAGAAGTCTGATCATGTGAACCCACTAGCTCTTCTTCCCTTATTCTTTGTCAGCAGATGTGGGGAGTTCAGAGGATGATGGGACACAGAGGGAGGGAGGCTTGGGGGTGTTGGTTGTATTTTCAGGATGTATGTTTTTAATGTTGTTTCATTTCTGAGGTGATTTTGTTTTTTGTATCATCATTCATCAAGTTTTATCAAGCTTCCTCCTAAGTAGCTCTCCAGTCTGTCACCTTTTCTACACCCTCACTGCTTTCCAACTGCCCATGGGGATCTCACACCTGGACTGCTATGAGAGCCCCTCCTAACTGGTCTCCCTCCCTCTGGTCTCACCTCTCTTCCAAACCATCCTCCATACAGGCTAATCTTACAGGCAGATATGACCATGTCACTCTCTGGTTTTGATTCTATAATACCTTCTCATTGCTTCCAGGAAAAAGTCCAAATTTCTTAGCCCACATACAAGATTCTTCCCTCTCTCGTTTCATACTCCCTTTCTGATCTCATATTTCACCACTTCTTCTTACACAGATGAAATCCCAGCCTTTTGGAACTACCTGTGGTTTCCTGTTATGTCATGCTTTATATCACACTTCCTTGCTTTTCTGCCCTCTGTCCCTTCAGCCTAGAATGTCTTTCCCCACCCTTGTCTTCCTAGTGAAGTCCTGTTTCTCCTTCAGATCTGCTCAGTTGTCACCTTCTCTGTGAAAGCTTCCCTGATACCCCCAACTTAAGTACAAACTTCCTCCTCTGGGCTCCTCTAGCACCTTCTATGTACCCCAATTGGCACTGACTTTATTATATTATAGTGATTTGTTTATGCATCTGTCTCCTCTACTAGACTGTGAGCTCCTTGAGGGCAAGGAACATCTCATTCTTCTTTGTATCTCAAGTGCCTAGCAAATGCCTGGCACATAGTAGATATTAAATGTTTGTTGAATGAATGAATTTCAAAAATGGTTACTTGATTATATTTTCTAAGCCATAATGTTAATCAGTTAACATGCACAAAGGTAAACAATTGCTAGCAAATCCATCATCCATTATGTTTTTTTAAATAGTACTCTGAGCACCTGTTTCTTACTCTGCTCTACTCCTGTACAGCCATTGAGAAAACCTACCCCTACTTTCTACTGGATGACTTAATACAGGGTTTTAAAAATCAAAAAGAGATCTGATTTGAAACAGGAAGAATATAATGAAAGGTGGGGATATCATTTTTAACCCTTCTCTTGCCCTCATATCTGCTGTTGTTCCCTCCTTACACAGCCAGGACTGGTCTGGAAATAGCACTGTCCCATAAAGCAGTCAGTCACCCCATTTTCATATCTCATTAGAGGAGTGACAGATCACAGACCCAGTGATTTCCACTCTGTCATTGTAATCTTTTCTCTCATACATTCACAAAATGGCTGACCTAGATTCAGATTGACTTCATGGTTTCACTCAATGCTCTGGCACACCAATGAGAGGTAGATTTTCAAAGAGAGTCTAAGCTGTCATCGACTTTGGAGATGAGTATCCAAGGATCAGCCTATGTGTATTCAGCCTTTGGTTATGGTACGAATAGACTTTGGTGGAGCTTTGTATGAAAAATGGGTCAGGTGCAAAAAAGTCATGACAGTCAGTGAAGAAAGTACTTATTTTAAAATATAGGTCTCAAGGAAGGATTTGAAAGAGGGGTAGAGAGAAGCTTAGAGCCCTAAAGTCAGGGGCATATACAGAATTCAAGGGTAATGTGAAAACCAAAAATAAGAGGAAAGGAAACGAGAGGTTTGACAGCCCAAGAAGAGAGCTTAGAAGGGTGCAGATTAAAATGTGGGCATAAATATAGCCAGGTTAGAGCAATATGGAGCTTTGCATCTAATGGAATTTATGTGGCTAAAACTCTGACCAAGTCTGAAAATTCACCCTATTAAATCTTGATGCACTTTTCAAAGCACTTAACATTAGAATTCAGCCCCAGTTCCTGGCGCCAAGAATTCCAGGAACTGGGTTCCGGGTCCCTAGTCAGTGTAGCCATCTTCAATGAGTAGTGGCATTACTTTGAGTTATTACTAAAAAGGCTTATCCATGGAGCAGTTGCAGTATTTCTTTGAGCATGCTCAACTCTTTCCCTGGCTCTAGTGACAGGAGGCTTACATGTATGTTAGTGAAATGTATTTGGGGGGAAGAGGGAGAAGGATGGGTTGCATAACCAGAAAACAGACAGCATTCTAAGATATACAAATAAGCAGATGAGATTATATTTGTGGATTGAGAAGTCACAAATCTTTATTGAAATGTGATGCACAAGTATGTGTGTGTCCATATTTGTTTATGTGTCTGCACTTGTGTATATGGTGGGGAGATTCTTATTCCTTATGCTTGAAACATTTTCATGCTTCTTAGATTTCTGTATCAATAATAGGAATACTAAAATTCTAACCAACTTTATTGCAAAAGGTCAGCTTTTCAATTGAGGCATGTCATTTTAACAAATAATTTGTTTGTTTAAAAATTTCATGTTACAGAATTGATTAACATCTCAGGCAAACAAATAAACAGAAAAAAGGCTGATGTATTCAGCAGTTGGGTATAGAAGAATTTTCTGGGAACTGCATCCCAAAACAGTAAAAGACCTATTGGTACCAAGTGGAAACAGGGTTGTTTGCAGATGATGTTTTATTTGGAAATGAATTTGTTAATAAATGTAGCTTTATACATGATTTCATTACAGATGTTTTTGTTTATTTTTACCTTAGGATAAAAATCTGCTGGTGTAGATAGCTTTGCATTTTGGTGCAATTTATTATTAGTGTTGTTTGGCAAGTAAATAATTGCATGTAAATGAAAAAATTGATATCACATATTAAGTGTCTCCATCTTAAGTCAATAAGCTGTTGAAAGTATAATACTAATGTGTGGAGTGTCATCACCATAAAGGGTCATTTGCTGTATGTGTTGCTCTTGGTTGCAATCTAAGACTATCTGAGGCTTCAATTGCCTCAGAACTAAGAGCCTCTTAGAAAAGTTTAATAGAACTGATATGGGACTTGACTTCAGGATTAGTGGCTAGCCTTATCAACCAGCTGAAAATTTATTGCTCACATTTGTGACTGTGCCTGTTATGTTGTATGCCCTGTGCAGTGAACACTGTGAGTATAATTCTCTTCATTTATTATGAGTTATATAGTAAGCTCTGGTCCCTTGAGTGAGAACTGCAGAGAATGCTGGGATCTTGCCACTGATGTTGTGGATGTGTCTGTGTAGCTGCACAGAAATGACAGAGGCAGAGCCTTCAAAGAACGGAAGGCCATCCAGCTGCTGTGTGCAACTTATGCTAGGCATTTTTCACTTGTACATCACGTTTTTTGTCCATTTTTATGGGAAGAAAATATTCAGTCCAAGGATATAACTGACCTAGTTTCAACCCCATCAAGAATGAATTGAGGCACCTCTGAAAGTCTTTACATTTTCAGGGTGCCAGAAAAGACTCTTGAACTTAGCATCTGTTCAATAGATGTATAGAATACAGAAAGCTTACTACCCTCCCTTCTGCCAGTCCATCCCCTGGTGGTTGCTTTTCATTTGTGCTTTTTGACTGACTCTCCCAACTCATTGGTCTCATTGGTATTCAAAATAATTTCCTTACCACACCTCTTCATCTTCCCCTTAACTTTAGTGTCTTCCTAAGCTAAATGAAGTGGTCCCCTCAACTGGACATCTGAAACAGATAGTAATACAGATGGAATATGGAGCCTTGCATTCTTTGTAATGGAGAGGCCAGAGGTACTAGGAGAGAATTCAATTGAGATTGCCATGTGTCAGTAATTAGGATAGGTGTCCTGAGAAGGGGAGGCTGAGACAATCTCACAATAGTAGGACTGATTTACCAGATATTGATACATAGGGGTAATCAGGGAGGATTTCACAGAGAACGAATGGCAGGTAGATTTTGAATTTAGCCAGGAACTCTTGAATTACTCTAATTC